ACTGCTGAACTACCGACCTTTCGATTAACAAGCTCAGCGTCTTAGCCACTGAGCCACCATGTCCCTTTAGAGACTAGTTACAACCCTGCAATTTCATTGTGATCGCCTATAACTAAATCTACTCATATTTAGTTTTTCTAAGATCAGTCAGATTTTTGCTACGTCTCATACAAACCAGAATGCTTTCTAATGTAGACTACATTTTCTCAGCCTGATGTTCTTCAGGCATTTTTAAACTACAGTTTCTAAATCTCCCAGTTAATTGTCCCTACACAATTATAATTGCCGAAGGAACTGTCACATCAGATCAAAATCTTTTCTGCAAGTGATGCTTGAATTTAATTTTCAGCCTCCCTATTTTTCTCCTGACACATTGCTTATGTTTGCAATCTGAATTAGCTCAGTGTTACATTGGTTTTACAAGTGGCTTCTTTTGCTTCCTATACTGCATTATTAATGTTCATAATGATATTTGGGGCTGTGAAAATGCCCTGAAGCTTGTAGTTCAGTTTTCTTACATATGATAAATAAAAGCTACAGTTAGCCTCACTGATGAGGCCTGTGACTCTGTGTGATTTCCAGTGATGCTCGACTCCATGGAACTGTTTATATTCTCACAGGGACAAAGAAGCTCTCTACATCCAGAACCAAGACTCCACACCCAGAGGTATTTCTCCAGCTTCTTCCAAACAAAGCTATTGTTCTGGAAACACACTGCAGCCGTTGAAGCCAAATGAAGTCAAATTTTTCCTTCAAGAGCCAGGTCCAGCCAAGGAAGGGGCACTTGAATATTCTTCTTCGCAACTTCCAGAGGCTTCTAATGTAAAAATGCTTCCTGCTCCTCTTCAATCTCCATTTCCAACCAGTATGACTGTGCCTAGCATGAAGACTGAAGCCATCAGTGTGCAGTTGTCTCAAGAAACCCAATTTCCCTTTCTTTCTGCTGAAGAGCACAAGTGTCTCTCATGCCCAGAAAGAGAGGATAGGCTGACCTCTTGCAACCCTGGTGGTCTCCTTTCACCAAAATACACATTTTCCTCTGACAGCAGCTTTTGTGTAGACTCTTCTCCTTTACTTGCAGAAAGGCCATCTATAGGCTTCTTTCCAGCAATGAATGTGAGCCCCGATTCAGACAGATGGGCTATCAGTATGCTAGCTGATCAAATCCACTCCCTGGCTGAAGTCTTCTCTCAATACACCAAGCAAAGATCTCAGGAGTCTCTTGGCGTTCACTGGCCTGGGCATCCTGCTGAGGCTGCCCCTCTAGTGGCAAGACAGGACTTGGGGGCTAATGGAGCCATTGACTTTTCAGAAGAAATATCAGTGGACGAAGAAACCATCACCAGTATTTTAAACAACTTCTCAGATCATGATGTCCAGAACCAAGCCAGTTTTGAACAGAGACCAACAGGCCATTTTCACTTAGCAAATACCCAGTTGCAGCTTTCTATGTACCAGACTCTTGTACCAGAAACAACTCCTTTGTCTTTCTCTGTACCATCTGAGTTTGATCTGCCTGATTCCCAGTGGGATGGAAAATCCTATAACATATATCAGCAAGGTATGGCTCCCCTTTTATCACAGTAGTACCATTTAAAAACACCACCACCACTGAAGTTAATACGATCCTGCACCGACATTGTCATGTTTGACTTAGGGTAGCATATGATTGGGGTTTTTAATGAAATCCCTTGTGCACCCATGTCTCTCTGCGTACACCCCAATGTTATGCAAAAATGAAGAAAAAGAATGTGATAGTAAATCAAAGAAATTAAAGTTATAAGAGAGTAAAAAGAACGGGGAACAGATCCAGTGAAGATTTCTACATTTTTACATATTCTCAACAATCGACATGACACTGGTTCATACCCAGTGGTGGGTTTCACTTACCTTTGCTACCAGTTTGCTCACGCACGTATGCGCAGAGCATATTTGATGACGTCTGGGTGGGTAGGCAGAGCCTCTCACTGCTGCTACTACTGGTTTGCCGGAACCGGGACGAACCGGTAGCAACCCACCACTGTTCATACCTTTTTATATGCTAGTACTTTTATTCTTAAATTAATCATTTCAAAACTTTCCTGCAGTTCCATTCCACAAGTTCAGATTATCTTCATTCAGATTACTAAATGATTCCCCTTTCATAAATTAACAGTAGACCTATGTTTTTTTCACTCCATTAACTCATGCTCTTTATCATTTATTTGTCTTACATCCCAAATCACAATCTTCCATATGCCATAGTCTTCACCATGTAGACCCATAGATGTTAATTTCTACTGTCCATCATAGACTTTTGGTTAACAGAGTCTTTCACATAATGCTTTTAATAAGATAACATGCAGATTAAGTTCCCAGTCTTAATCAGACCCATTCCACATTGAGCATTCCCTGCTCATAGTAAGAATAGTTTGTTTGTTTGTTTTTAATCATTTACTCGGGTCTGACACTTGGTAACTCTATAAGCAAGTGTTCTCCATGCTATCCTGTCAAGCACAACGTCATTCAATTGTTGTATGTTCAACTTTGCATCAGATTTGATGTTATCAAGCCAGCATGTTCTTTCCTTGCTCCTTCTTTGTTCACTAACTATTCCTAGCGTCGTTACCTTCTCCTATGAATTTGCATGCATAACATGGTCAATATATTTTAATAATACTGTAATAATAATAATAATAATAATAATAATAATACTGTATAATACCATAAAAACAGTATTGGACAATGTTGGTCTATTTAGCACAAACATATTCATATTACTTTAAGCAAGAGGGATCTCTATTCTAGATACTATCTTACAAGTAAATATATTGTTGTCCACATCTCATGACGTAAGGGGTCATACAGTATAAATAATGCACATCCAGGATGTTGTACAAACAATCACTGTGGTCTGTAAATCATGGTTTATTTCAGGAAATGGGCAACCCGAGGCCTAGGGTTGTGGGCAGCTCATGAGTTCACCCCCAACTTTTTTCTTTTTCTTTTGCATTCCTTGAAACAATTTATGAACAGTTGCTAAAACCTAGTATAGTTTCAGGCATTTTACAGAATAAAATTCAAACACTAAAGTTTAAGCCCAAAGTAGGGTTAATGTGATTTATAAGCAAGTGAAACCTTGAAATTTCCCCTCACAGAATTCTAGATCTGTTTATTTTGTACAAATCACAATTCTGCAGAGATATTTATAAAGCCAATTTTGAATGGATTATTTATCTCACTCAGCAACCTGTCACTTTCATTTGTCTGAAAATCTGATAAGATCCAAAAGAGAAGAAGTAAGGATAGAATTATTCTAAGGGGTTTATAATATAAATTACCCAGTCTTTGGATTGGGTAGTGTATAAAAATGTGAAAATAAAGTGTATATATTGGAAAAGAGGTTTTTCCCCCATTCTTGGAGAAGACATTGTAGTTACCGGTCAAATAAATATTGCTTAAGTTTGTCAGATGACAATTCTGGAAAGAACACAGCAACCCCCCAACTGAGAGGGCTTGCTGTGGTACTTCACTGCAGCAAAACTCACAAGAGTTTATGACTGGTTAAAACTCTTGCCAGTATATTCTCCTTATAAGACTTTGTTGCAAGCAAGTTGCATCTTTGGTCATGCAGGATTGATTTTTAGAAATACGAGAACTCCGTATTTGGCTGAAACCATGCCTGCAAGGTATGTTTGAGAATAAATTAGGGACCCATAGGAATACAGGTAGTCCTCAACTTACAACTGTTCATTTAGTGACCGTTCGAAGTTACAATAGCACTGGAAAAAGTGACTTATGACCATTCTTTGCACTTATGACTGTTGCAGCATCCCCCTGGTCATGTGATTTATATTCGGATGCTTGATAACCGGTTCCTATTTATGACAGTTGCAGTGTCCCAGGGACAGTTGCAGGGTCATGTGATCCCCTTTTGTGACCTTCTGGTACGCAATCAATGGGGAAACCAGATTCGCTTAACAACGGTGTTACCAATGTAACCACTGCAGCAATACACTTAAGAAATGTGGCAAGCCAAGTCGTAACATGAGGCAAAACCCACTTAATGGAATGTCTCACTTAGCAACATACATTCTGGGCTCAATTGGGGTCGTAAGTCAAGAACTACCTGTATTCCACCCCAATCAGTTCCCAACCTCAGGCCTGAAGGGAAAGAAAGAAATCCCTGTGGATTGCCAACTGAACAAGCCTGCCCTTTTCCTATTCTTCTTCCACAGGGGTCCGATCGGAGGAAGCTGCCTCCTTCTGTTGACCTTTCGGCGTGTCAGCGATTGCAAATCAGCCAGGCGCGCCTTCCTTGGGTCCCACCGATTTCAATTGGCGTGATTAGGAATGAATCAGTAGTGATCGTGGCGCACAACTCAGAGGAACGGAGCTCCCTGGCTCCCAGGAAAGGATGGAAGGGAATCGGCATCAAATCAAACCACTGATAGCCGAACTACCCGAATTACTTTGCTGTTTATTCCTGATGCTGCGGAAAGCAAACCGAAATGACTCCCTAGAGCAGGGGCAAATGTGGCTCTTTCACAACCTGTGGACTTCAACTCCCAGAATTCCTGAGACAGTTTGGCTGTCTCAGGAATTCTGGGAGTTGAAGTCCACAGGTTGTAAAAGAGCCACATTAGCCCACCCCTGCGCCTAGAGCAAATAGCCGATGGCGGAGCTTGTTGCGGGGCTCTCTTGCGGGGGAGGTGGGAACGGGCTGGCCCAGTTGTTTGTAAATAAAGTAGTTATTGGAAAACTTTCCCAACTTCTGTCTGTTTACTCCGGTGACGTCAAGAGGAAGGCGGGGTAAACCCGGGGTAGGCTGGCTCCCTTCGGAAAGCCGCTCCTGCCCACCCCATCCGGAATGGTGGTTTCCAGGCGCTCATGCGCAACTGGCTGACTCACAGCCTCCCCCCTCCCCGCTCTTTGTGACTTCCGCGAGCTCAGCCCCTCTTCCCCCCTCCCCCGTCGTGCCGTTGCCAGGAAACGGAAAGGAGCTGTGGCGGCGTGACCTACCGGCAGGCCGGAGGAGATCGTGAAGGCAGGCCGGGGAGAGGGAACGGAGTGTGTGATCGTGTGGGCATCAGCGTGGGCAGCCCGTCACAGGCAGGTAGAACTCGTGTTTAACAGCGCCCCCCTCCCCGGATTATTCTCATATATCTTTTCCTACAGACTGCCTCTTCCGGTGGATGACCCTTAACTCCCCTCGAATGGCTGCCACTCGTCCTTTGGTTACCGACTGGCAAGTGAGAAAGGATAACATTTGAGGCATGCACAATTGGCTGCCTAATAGGAATTTATTGTGATTTGGCCTGGTCACAGAACTGGTAAAATTGCTGTTTAGAAAAAATCGAAGGCGATACAATGAAGCTAGTGAAGAGAAGGACCAGGGGAGACATGATAGGAGTCTTCCAATATTTATGGGGCTGCCACGGAGAGCAAGGCGGGTCAAGCTATTTTCCAAGGCACCCGAAGGCCAGACAAGAAATAATGGATGGAAACTGATCAAGGAGAGATTCAACCTGAAAATAAGGAGAAATTTTCTGACCGTGAGAACAATCAACCAATGGAACAGCTTGCCTTCGGAAGACGTGGGAGCTTCATCACTTGAGACTTTCAAGAAAAGATTGGACTGCCATTTGTCAGAAACGGTGTAGAGCAATGTTCCTCAACCTTGGTAGCTTGAAGATGGATGGACTTCAACTCCCAGAATCCCCCAGCCAGCAGCGCTGGCTGGGGGATTCTGGGAGTTGAAATCCACCCATCTTCAAGCTTCCAAGGTTGAGAAACACTGGCGTTGGGTCTCCTGCTTGGACAGGGGGTTGGACTAGATGACGTACAAGATCCCTTCCAACTCTGTTAATCTGTTAAAGCTTCCAAGTTCAGAGGCAATACTGTATGGTTTTGCATTTTGGATGATAGGGAAATAAAACAGATTGCTGGTGGTTTCATAGGGGTGAAACCACAAAATATTTTTAAATGTCTCCTGAAATACTGTATTGTTTCATACACCAGACTTTTAACTTCCAGTAGATATTTCTTCTATATGTCTGACATGTTCTTAAAACCTCCACATGAAACCAATAATCAAGGCTTGTCTGCATTTCTAAGGTTCATTGATAACACTTTCCATCACAATTTTAGTGAAGCTGTGGCCTGTCTACCCATTTTCTCCATCCATCTAATAGAATCGCAAAGAGGAAATCAACAGCAAGTGTTGAATGGAATAGAGTTGGAAGGGATCTTGGAAATCTTCTAATCCAACCCCCTGTTTAAGCAGGAAAACCTATACCAGTGATGGCTAACCATTTTGCTGTCGCGTGACAAAAGCGGGGGGAGCACAGGGGGGTCGTGCGCATGCGTGCCCACACCCATAATTCAATGCCTCCCCCATGTCCTTCCCCTTCCCCCCCTCATGCACGCGCAAACCCCCCCCCCGCGCCCTCTTTTGGCACACAATGGCAAAAAGATTACCGGTGGGCCTGGTAGGCCCTTTTATTGCCCTCCCCAGGCTCCAGAGGCTTTCTAGGAGCCTGGGGAGGGCGAAAACGGCCTCCCTCACCCTCTGGAGGCCTTCTGGAGGCTGGAAACGGCTCGTTACCCGACTTCCAGTGGGCCTGGAAGGCCTGAAATTAAACTGATCGATGTGCGCATATGCGCTGGAGCTGAGGTAGGGCAACACTTGTGTGCCTACAGATATGGCTCCACATACTATCTGTGGCACGCGTGCCATAGGTTCGCCATCATGGATCTATACCATTTCAGACAGATGGTTATTCAGTATCTTCTTCTTGTTGCTTTAACAGTTTCTCACATGTGAACAATATGAAAAGGAGGCCTTTTGTAATGATAGCTCCTACATGTTAGAAAAATTCCATCAATGACAAACTGCCATGTTTTTATAGGCACTAATTCTTAAGTCCTTGCATGCTAGAGTCCCAAGTAACATTTAAAATTAATGTTTGTGTTGAAATATGTACATTTAATTCTGTCTGGCAGAAACAGCACTTTAAACTTTAAGGCACCTCTTTCTGTTATAATGGGAAAAGCACTTTTGTGCTATCTAAATGTTTTAGACTTCAGCTCTTTTTAGTTCCAGCTAGCAAAGGATTGTAGAAGTTGTAGTCCAAAACATCTGAATGTTGCCAAGCTGCTTGCCTTGTTTGGCCTGCTTAAAGCATATCGCTTGGAACCTGATATAAGACATCAGTGTAAGTGGCTGGGTGCTCCTGCTATCCTACTTCATCTCTGAGCAATTAAAAAGAAATTCCAGGCTTATACACCATAACTTCATCAAAATTAGCCCTACAGCAAATTGTAGAAAAGTCTAACCTGCCTCCATCCCAGAAGCAATACATGAACAGTAAAGCCAATCCATTTGATACCGTGTTTTCCCGAAAATAAGACCCCGTCTTATATTTTTTTGAATCCTGAAATAAGCGCTTGGCCTTACTGCCATGCGCTCAAAAGCCCGATTGGGCTTATTATCAGGGGATGTCTTATTTTGGGGGAAATGGTATAATTTTACCAAATTATAACATTCTGTTAAAGCACTCTAAAATATAATACAATGACCTGTTAATATTTTTCTTCATTAATTAACTCTTGCATCTAATAATTGGCAGTATTCTGCTCTTGAATATTGACAAAACCTTTTACATCAATAGACTAGCCATAGATTTGTCTGTTAACATTGAATTACTTTGAAACTGCCCAATTAATGCATTTTTAGTAACAAATCAAAGGGATCAGGTCAGGAAATAAACTACTGGATTCTACATATTAGATTTTTTTCCCTTGGAGAACTAAAGTTCTTGTTCAGAGCACAGTTTTGTGCTTGCTTAATTTTACTAAGTACCAGCTTTGGTAAGAAGGTTTTTCTTCCTGCAATACAATAAAGAGAAATACGTTATTGCTCTTGTGTTAATTATGAATTAGATTTTAAAACCTGCCTAGAGAAACATGATAATAGCTTAGGAAGAATTCATGGACCTAAGAAAGGACAGATCTTGTTTTATGGATCTTTTCATTTATAATTTTTTCTCCTTATTTTAATATGACTGAAATTAATGTTAAAAGGAATTATTAAATCACTTGATGCAAGAACTCTGGGTTCCTACCATTTTTTCTTGAACATTTGAACATTATACATGTATAAAATGTCTCTTACATGTATAAAACTTACCTACTCGAGATTGTTAGACTTCTTTCTGGCTCTAGCAAGTAAGATTATTTGATGAACATTGAGCTAAATTTAGGTTCTCTCAGTTAACAGAACTCTGGAAGAATTGAACAAGCTACTTCTTTGACGCCCACATTGGTTACTTCATTTAAAAGGTATATTCATATAACTTTTCAGTTTAGAACATAATGGAAGTGAGGCAGTATGGAAAAGTACCATAAACATATTAATAAAGGTATTATCTCTTCAGTTTTGTAATGTTTCAAATAGCAGATGGCATCCATACTTGAAATATAATGTATAGGCATGTGCTAGATGTGATGATATATAATAGATTAAAAGATTAAAAAAGAGATATCTGTGTTCTTTGTTGAAGAATCTTAATACCATAGATCTTTCCTTAGATAAGGAAATAAATATACGAGGTTGGGCAAATAATTCAAGATTTTTTCCCCACAAGTGAAGCAACTTCTGTATCTGCTCTTCAAAACAGCTATTTCATTAGCTATTCTGCTGGAAGTGTCTTCTGGGCATGCACATGAATAACTCAGACGATGTTGGAAGAACTTCTTAAGTAATTGCAGTGATGCTTTGAACAACTATAGTGGCTTCTTACTGTTTCAGGAGCAGATCCAGAAGGGTACTTCACAAGCAAAGCATGTTATCAAATGAGCACAGTGCCATAATTCCTTCCCAGCTTATAAACTCCTAGTTTATTAACTCTTTGAATACAGCTGTTTTTCATCTGGGAATGTGCGTAAGATGATTTCAAATTGAGAAATATAATTAGACAGCCAATCCCATTTTCTATTATTGAATTATAATGAAAGGAAGGCTAATAGAAATTTCTTTCTTACTTGAACTAGTGATTTGACACATACAAAAATACCAGAAGCCTTATGAAACACCTGCATGAAAATAAAGCTGGGGGCCAGCCCCGTAAGAAGAATTCCTCCTCTGGTAAGGACAGCAGGACGCCAACAGTGCAGACTCTGGATGACAGTGGGCGGATCAGTATCTTAAATCGAAAACTCTTGGCCCAAAAACGATCTCTACAAGGTTTGAGCAGCATGGGAGGTGGTGCTGCAGGAAGTGCTGATGATGCCAAAAGACCTAAGCTCTTGCCTGAAGTGAATTCACCTAGCCAAGAATCTGAAGAGGAGTCAGATGACAGCGATTATGAGAGAGTGGAGAGTGATAATGATGCCAGTGATACTACAGAGAGCGATGAAGATGATGGGGATGAAACTGGCAGTGATGCATCAGAAAGTAGTAATGAAGACTCTGAAGAAACCGCAGGCCAGCCTTCAAGGCCTGATTTAACAAAAGGTAAATAAACATTGATGCCTAGAAAAATGCAATAAATTGTGCATCTCTGTGTCACTGATTAGCAGTTCTGAGCTTTTCTTTCTTCTAAACAATCTTGGGATCATGTCAGTGAACATACACTATTTGCTTCATTTAGTTGTCCTCAAACTGTTCTCTTGATTGCTGGTTTTGTTATATAACTGTCTTGTTATATCTGTCACTTATTTTGCTAGCACTGACAGGGATGTCCTTTCTGAATGACATATTGACATGCTGCACATCTCTATAAGATGTTGCAAAGATGCCAAGAAAATGTCATTCAACAGCTTATTTCAATCACTATAATTAAATGTTTTAATCATAATGAAATAATAAGGGCTCATAAAAATATGGAACAACTAGCTTAAATGGTTGTATATATGTTGAATAATAAGAATGTCCAGACTTCTTTTCAGAAATAAATTCAACATTCCCGGCAAAGCTTATCACTATTATTCTGTTGCAAATTAGAAGATAAAGGAAAGGACATTTAGAAAATAATGGCTTCTGTAATAAAATGAAGTGGGTTTCTTGCAAAATGAGAAGAATTGAATTGAAAATGTCTAGATTCACATACTTAACCATTGCTGTACATTGCTTTTCAGTTGAAGCAAAGGCAGCAGTGTTATAGTTATAATACTGATTATCTTTAGAAAGATGTTCAACATTTTTTCATGATATGTGAGAAATTTCTTAAATCTGAATCAAATGAATTATAGAAAATTGGGCAATTTATTTTTCCCTTATTATGATAGTAGGTTAAATTAAAGGAATTAATTCCTACATACATGTACACCTAGCATGTTATTCCTTGTAAGGTAAACCACTGCACAAAGTGCAGAAAAAGAATAAGAAGTAGTAAGCAAAATAAATGAATGGTAGAAGATATAAGAATTAATACCTTTTTAAAGTATAAAATATTATTCTGGTGCTTATCTGTTCTGTATTGACATAGTCATATGAAATCACATGCCTCTGGTTACAGACAGGAAAATATGTGACACTCTTTGATAATCTCCTTTCCCAATATTATTGCTTATTGAAAATTCAAAGCCTGATGAATAAAACAATATCGGGAAATGAGCATTGGTGCTGAAAATGAGCATTTTTTTCATGAGTCATATTGACTCCCGCAGTTAAGTATCTGAACCTTACAATAAATCAGTTTAGCTACCACATAAAAGCCAACTTTGCCTCTTGATAATTGTGTAGATGTTATTTTCATTGTCAGGTCTGTTGAGAATTAACTGCAGTGTAGAATCAAATAGATGCTTCAGCTTTCAGCCAAAACTAGTGTAGGGTCTCCTTCACGGAATGAGCTTATTAGAGCATTGTGAAACTCTCGGCAAGAAGCAGCCTGGAGCATTAATAAAGAACAAATGAAGCATGCTGTTTCCATCTTGAATATACATTTCCTAAATGTAATAAGCAATATGATATGGTGTTCATAATTGTACTTGGGTGAGATTTCCTAAGGCAGGGTTTAAGTTGGTATTTGAATTCTTGTTTGAATATCCAGAAAGATTAGGCTGTGATAAAATTCGGTTGATCAGAATCTGATCTGACTGTCTTTCAAAGCAGTAAGATTAGATGAGAAGACATGCACATTAAATATCTTTAAATGATGTTTGATGGCGATCCATGTTGTTTTCACTGTTTTGGAGCTATATAGCCATACATTCATAATTATTATATAACCCAGAAATATTTTCAAATGAGAATTGAGATTCCTTTTATGCTGATAGTTTGCCAACATATGCAAAGTCTAAGAAAAACAGAAGGGGTGTGTGTGTGTAGGGCGGGTAATAGCAGTGGTGGGATTCAGCCAGTTCATACCTATTCGGGAGAACCGGTTGTTAACTTTCTAAGCAGTTTGGAGAACCAGCTGTTGGAAAAAATCTTATTTTGTTTTTTTCCACTTGACAGGGCTAATCCTGTAAGGAAGGCAGGAAGGAAACATTCTGGTGTTGTTTCTAGCCTAATCTTTATTGCCCTGCTTACAGAAACTGTCTCTCTGGTTAGCCCTTATTACATTGTAACAGCTAAGGTTAACAGCTAGGCCCATCGGCGTGAGTGACGTTGAGTTGGCCATGCCCACATGGTCACATGACCAAGCCACGCTTACCCAGCTGGTCATTAGGGCAGAGAACTGGTTGCTAAATTATTTGAATCCCACTACTGGGTAATAGTAATATGTGGCTATAGGTGGCACCGAACCTGGCCATGTCAAATATTCTGTTGCAAGGAATACAGCAAATTATTTAAGAACAAAATAAGTACCAATAATTTAGTTTCAGACTTGGATCAGTGAGAAAGAGGTCTGGTGCGAGGTTTATATGGTGGATTGATATAAAACATATGCTTTTGTTTATTCATGTTTTAGATACAGAACATGTGAAAAGCAATTTTTGGTTGTGAAAAAAGTAGAGGGGTTTGTAAACACCCTATATCAATATCACATCTAATATGTGTTTAAATATGACCAAAAAGATGAAAGAAATCAGTATCCTGAACTCAATAAATTGAGATTTTGCCATTCTGTAACTATGAGAGAGAGGTGTATAAAAGTCTTGAGAGAAGGGAAAAACTAAAAGTTAACATGTTAAAACTGGAGGAGTGAAGCAATGAAATATAATACAGTAGTTGGATGCTTGTGTGAGCTTGCGTCTTCATTTGTTTTAATATAATTTTATTAAACTTTTAATAATTCTTTTTATAATCTATGTAATCATTAAGATAAATTGCAAGTTAATTTTTTTTAGTTTCATACAAAAAATCTATAAAGGTTTTCCAGTTAGAATCAACATAAATATTGTCTTTTCTGTGATCAAAGAAGTCAATTTAGCCAACTCAATAAGTTCCATCATCTTCACCAGCCATTCCTCCATTGTGGGCAATGCAGGTTTTTTTCCTATACAGCAGGGGTTCACAACCTTTTTGGTTCTGTGGACCTGGGCCAGCAGCTTTGGCAGTTTCAGCAGTGGAGGGGAATGGTTTCACATGTGCAACCTAAATTCCAAGCGTGCACAAATGAAGTTTTGCACATTAGCTCCCCCTGCTCCCCCGCCGCCGCCCCCCCCCCGCTTTGGCAACAGTAATGTTACTGCAGTTATCATGTACAAAAAAAGCATTCTATAACATTTTTCCAACTGTTTTTCAATCAACCCCAAAAAAACTCTGGCCTCAATTGTATATTAATATTTAAAATCCTCTGACTCAGTGTACGTGTTTGAATCCAGAATTTTCTGTTCTTTACATGTCCAGCAATATGATACAATGTTCCTTCTTGTTCACATTTGAACAATATTATTTCTTTATCTATAAAATGCTTCTTGTGCTGAGGACCAACAAAGATGTTTTAGAGCAGGGGTCACCAACCTTTCGGACCTCAGGGGCCACTAAAGTCATAATTTTAAATCCTGCGGACCACTAATATGATCTGCTTAATGACTGGCTGGGTGGGCATGGCTAGGTGGTCATGTGACTGGGTGGGCCAACTCAATGTCACTCACGTCGAGGGTTACGGTTAGGGTTAGACACTCAGGTCGAGGGGCGCCTCGCCAGCCTCTACTCACCCCTTCCCTCCCAGCCACTCCTCGTCGCCAGGACTCTTTAGGGCCCCAACGGGAAGCAGTTGTTGGAGCTAAGCAGCCATCACGAGAAAGAGTTGGCAAAACAGCTCAGTTTAAATTGGATCTGACTAGAAAGAGGCTCAGCAGAAGCACCTCACTGAGGACTACAAGCATAGGCTTTCCAAGCAGAGGGAAGACCTGCGGGAGTGCAAGACCAGGTGCTGGCACCTGGAGGCTCAGTGGGTTGTGATGGTCAGCCAGTTCCAGGCCATGAGGCAGTCCCACTGGAACAAGGCCCTCCGGCTCTTTGCTACCAGAGGCACTTCCCTCCAGCCTGTGCCCAAAGCCCTGCACCAAGAGACTGAAGCCGGCCCCAAGTCGGAATTTCTGCCCCCCTCAAACACACACAGGACCCCAAAGGGGGAGACTCTCTGCAGCAACACAAACGTTCATTGCACGTATCTGTCCCAGGGGCCATAATTTGAGGACCCCTGATTTAGTGCAATATAAAAAATGCAAATAATTTTTCTGTGGACCACAAACATTTTTCACAGACCACCAGTGGTCCACGGACCACCAATTGGTGACCGTTGTTTTAGAGCATAACCTGGGTTTGTATTTGTTCCATATTCTCAATATAGCATGTCTAACATAATGATTTTAAAAATACATATTAACTGTGACTTTATTTTACCACAAACATCCTTGACACTCAAATCTCATGTACTTCTAACTTTAAAAGCCTTCTGTTTGTCAGCAACACTCAACTGTTTCATCCAAACCAAGCAGCAAGGTAAAAAATATATTCTCCATTGAGAGTGGAGACAGCAGCCAGTGTGGGTACCACTCATCCAATCAGATTGAAGGACTGAGCCAGCCAATAATTTCAAGTCCCGCCCCTGTTGCCGGGCAGACCCAGCTTTGGCTCAGTCCTTCAGTTGGACTGGCGTGTGGGTCTATAGCTCTGACTGCTTTCTTCTAAATATCTGTCCCTTTGTGGAAATATTGGTGTTTTTTGGATCTGGACTGTTTTATGACGTTTCTCTGCTTCTCCCTATGGACTTGGTTGCCTTGGATTTCGTGAGTTTTTTTCCCTTTGGTTTCCTTGAGAACTTTTAATTCCCTGGTGTGAAGGTTTTTTTGTTTTGTCCCTTTGGGGACCCCTGGGGGGCTTCCTGGACGTTCCTGCCAGGCTTGGCAGACCTTCGTTTCAGGATCTGGCCCTTCCTTCCTAGATCGCTTCGCCCAGGGGCTTGTATCCTTCGTAGCGGCCGTTTTTCGTGCCGTTTCTGTGGCGGTGGCCATTTTGTCGCCCTCCGCTCCGTTTCTGAACCTCCCAGCCTTAAGAGAACTTTTCTGCCTGCGATTGGGACTTTAGACTGCTGGCCTCCCTCGCCCACTTTCCCTGGA